AATTTGTTAGGAATTAAAGACTGTATGTTCCACTCCATAAACTAGGAACAGTTCCTTAATATAGAAAAAAAGAACATTAAAGACTCAATTTTTCATGGAACTATATTAGAATATTAAAAAATTGTTATTTTTTTTTAGCTATTATAGGTTCTCTATTTCTCCAGATCGTAAATTGACTAAACAGAAGTTGTGACTACTTTATAGTACATCCTGCTGAGATTACACACGAGTTTAACCTAAATTCCGCACAGAACATCCTCATTCTTCATCTGAAGTAAAGATTGTCTCTCTTCTGGGAAAAACTCACTCAAGAAGACTGAAGTTGCAAGGGATGTTGAATACAAAATGTAGAGGATATGGGACTACACAAAAGGAAATAGCAATGAATCATAAGGGATATTAAAAAGTCCAAATCTGAGACAGAAAACTGTCGTTTCACTTACAATTACTTATTAAGTCTGTAGTAAAAGTAAACCATTTAAATTTTTTAAAGGACATTTTGTTTTGGGGAGTAAAAGCAACTTAATGAGAAGATAATTCTTCTCAGCTGTTTCTAACTCCACTTCATCACTCTGAAGCACGTACTGTATGACTCAAAATATTAAAAAGTTTAAGGTTTGAACTGACCGTGACAGATTTAATAACGTTAAAATTCTACCCATAAGCAAGTTTAATAGGCCTTCCTGTCATCTTTCCACAAAAGCTGAACTTGAAGACAGCACCTGGTTTTCAGTCAAACCCAAGCTCTCTCTCAAAGGTTTAAGTAAATAAATTACAATTATGAATACCTATTTTAGACCCCATATTTGAATGTTTAAACTGCACACTGGAAGGCCTTCTTAAAAACGTCTTATTCTGGTATACTTCACCACCATAACTCTCAGCCCCACAGAGATCATTATAACCATTGTCACTCTATGGTTGAAAGATTTTTGGGCCACTTTCCAGTTCTTCTGCTGTAAGGGCCAAAGTTGTCTCTGTGGGAAGACTGTTTAATTTGGAAATGAAGACTAAAAATTTCTTTTCATATATTTTTTCCTCTAAGCATGATAAAGGAAATAAGTCTGCAGTGATATGCATCTTCCCAAATGGATATTCACTATTGAGAAGACCACAGAAAGGCATCAGGAAGTGTTTATTCAATCCAGCTGCACTTGACATGTTTGGCACACAGGGAGGGAAAAAAAAGGTATATTCGCTTTAGAAAACAGACTATTACACAGGCCCTATTAACTGCACTAAATCAAAGCAACAAGTTGAATGTCTTCTATCTGCCATTTTCCGCATTTATTTTTTACATGCTTCTTCAACCAAAAGTGACAGAAACAAGTATGCTTTTACTGTAATGAGTCAGATAGATTCCAAGGTCAAATTGGTTGTTTGGGGGTTTTTTTCCCAACAAAAACGAAGGTAATTGCACGTTCTATTACAGTCTTTTAAAACTACTTGCTATCAAGACAAAATTACCACTTCTTAAGATGTTAAAAATAACACTTCCTTTGTGAGATTTCTTTAAACTCAACACTCAGAATTGTCCACAAAGTGATAAAATCCTGCTGTTAACCAGCACATTATTTTGGCTGCAGAATTTTTTCAAAGGATTTGTATTATGTAGACTATAAAGTAACAAAATGAAAAGGAGATGGGTAAAAAAGTAACCAACTTCTAACAGACAAGCTTTTTTTCTTTTTAAATACAGTCACTAGGCCTTCAGTATTTCTTATTCAGCTTCTAAATAATACAGTAAAATGGACACTCTTGAATAACAGACATAAAAATAACATAGGAAACCTGCTAAGTTAACTGAAGAGCATATTACTAATTTATTTTGTGTCCTGACAACAGTCAGGTTTTGCTGAGCTTTTATCTAAAATTTCTAGATGATATCATACACAAAAATAAGCTGAATATTAAAGACAACACATAATCTTGCTGCCCTTTCTCTCCATCTCACTTCCCCCAACAAAACCTCCAAAAGGAAGAATATTTACTATTTGGGACTGCTACCTACTAGTTACAGATATATTTCTTCTCCTAGCAGTGATACAATGTGCAGCCAAATTAAGGAATTTTGGCAATACACAGCAGCAGTACAATTAACTCCAGAAATATGTACTTTTAAGATTATCTGTCTACAGGCTTTTAAACAACACGACTATGAAAGTACATTACACAATCTGATCTCTTTCAGTGGCAAACAAATAACAGTCCCTAGATAAGAGGAAAAAAGCCCACAACACTATCTACCCAAGAAGGTACTTCTTAAAGAAAATAAAGGATAATTTTTATTTTTCTTCTAGAGCATCTCTCCTTCCAGTAAAACAGATGCAAGTACCTTAGGCCAGTCTGAGAAACCTATTGTGTAGTTTTAGAATACTGCTGATACTTATTTTAGAATATTTTTTCCTAAAAGTGATGAAACAAGACAATAACTACAAACAAGATGAAATATTTTACAGCAGCATAATACCAAACTGCTTTTTCATCTACGAAATGCTACTTTTCTCCAAATACAGGCTTCAAACACACCCCAGACTTAACTGTTTATTTGAAGGTATCTGGAAAAGCAAAAAGTCTTAATCTAATTTCATAAGTGTACACTGAGCACCCTTAGGCATCAGTATAATGACTGTACGCTCCCTTTTCAGCCCCTCCCTGGGAATGCTGGCTACTACTCTGCCGATGACAGTACACTGGCAGCATCACAACTATCACTGAGTTCCATATTGGCTTTAAAGAATAAAGCAAAGCTTCATCTGCCCAAGCCATATGTGACTGGAACAAGAAGTTTTACAAAATGATACATTTGCAGAGTGAGCAAACACTTTCTAAAAGCTTTTTTTTTTTGGTCTGGGGGGCAGGGGAGGTTCAAGAGAGAGCATCAAGCAGATGGAGAGAAATCATCTTATGTCCATAACTACATTAAGGACAAATCTAACATCACAAACCCAAGGGAGAAAACACACATTAGAGTGCTGCCTAACTTTCTGCTAACTGGCTAGTGATACCATAACACAAAACTATATTATGTCTACAACTTATGTTCTAAAGCAGGCTTAGAGGGCAAGTCTTTAAATTTAAAATCGTAAGCATAAAGACAAATGTAATTTTCCTTTAAGAATTTAAAGCAATTCAAACTACTATAAAACTCTGCATAACTGAAGAAATTCCTCCGATAGTTTATGGCCTCGAATTTCTGAACATCGGAGCTGCTGATGCCATGCAAAATTTCTCTGTGTTTTAAGTAAAAAGATGTGAAACTTCACTCACAAAACTAAGATTTAATCACACAGAGTTAAAAATTTAATATTAAAAGTCCCAGCTCAGCAAAGAATGTAAACTTGGACATTCTGCTGATTTAAGCTGGAATTGCTCCCTGCATAAAGTATGTATGTTTAACTGTTTGCTGGATCAGGTCTCAAACTTTCTGAAGTCTGCGGCCTATGCGCAATATTGACTATGTGCTTTTACAAGGTTTCAAAAATGTGGTTTTATAAAAATTATTTCTGAGGAAAATATACTGTCTAAACAGCATGTGACTAGCAGAAACTGAATCTTGATTTCAAACAAACTATTCCAGTTATAAATCCCTCAAATCAAACAAGTGTACCAAGACAGGACACAACTTCACAGAGAAAAGCAAGCCCAAAACAAGCCGCAAGAAATCCTTGCTGTTGTTAAAAGTAACACCCAAACCTGCGACAATATGCTAAAAACAAAAGAAAACAAAAACCCTGCCCTTGTTACTCTCCTGCTCAAGCTTATTTACATTTAATAACATTTTTGTTAACAGCCAGTTTACTGGTTCATGTACATCTGCCACTCAAGAGTAGGAAAAACAAACTGTCTTAAAACACTACAGAAATCACTGTAAAAGACCAAAAAAATCAAAGAGAAAAAAATTACTTAATATCTAGGAATATTTTAAGTTTGCTGTATTTCATTCAGATTTTGGATATATGCTGTAAATTATCAGAGATTCTTCCCACCACAGTATGATGCAGCTTCAAAAACCTTAAGACTTTAATACTAGTGAATGTAAAATTAATATGCTGGGTCATGTTAAGGTAATATCTCGCCCTTATTTTTCACGACCAGGTCAAATACTTCAATAACAAGTTTATGTTTTCTGCCTAATAACTACTTTCACAACTTTTAACAGAAGAAATGCACAAAATTTGATTTTGATGTCCAAAGGTGCAGAAGGTTGCAATTAACTTTCATTTCATTTTTTTAATCTAATGAACTGAGTCTTTTTTTGAGGTTTTAGCTCCAGTACAGAAGATAAAACCTTCACTACCTAGTTTAATGTCAGCAATGCCAGCATCTATAATTTTAATCCCTTGTAAGCATTTGTGTGCAGCACTATGCAAGTGAAAGTCTCTGAGGCAACTCCTGATCATTAAAATAAGACAGGCAAAACGTCATTCAAATCCTGTCCAAAAGTGATGGAAAGGAACCAATAAGCCAAACGCAAACTCCGATAACTCAGAATGTTATGCCACAGGCACAGAGTTCCTCTTTGCAAAATCCCCCCGTGGGAGGAGCCACCACTCGCTCCTAGATTTTAGTGCTCAATTCCCTGCACTCCTAAACTCAACCTACCGTCTACATTTTCCACACCTGCCCTCCCAACACTTACTCCTAAATTACCCAAAAGAGGGGTAATGGAGTAGTTAATAGAGTTAGTCCCCAGGGCAGTAAGCGAGAACCGACCTGCACGACACTTGCTTATATGAGCCGAGGAAGCGAGCCCAGCCGCACACTGAATTACTCCTGCGAGGTCCCTACCTGGAAAGGACCGGGAGCAGAGAAGGACACGGCTAAAGGGCAGAGGGTGCGGAGGAAGGGGGCAAGCCAGGACAGGCGGCGACAGGGCAACGCGGGGCAGGCAAAGCGGTGTCAGCAGAGGCAGCCCTGGGCGGCCGAGGGCACCGGCACCTGTAGCCGGAGGGCTGAGGGGTGCAGGGTGGGGAGGGAGAAGGACGACAGACAGGTACCTTTGAGCTGGGGCAGCGGCGAGAGCTCCACCTGGCTGCTCTGGCTGCGGAACTGCGAGGAGCCCTGCGAGCGCTTCTGCCTCTGAGCCTTGCGCACCGATTTCCGTGTGAAGCCATCCACTT